CCTTTGTCTTGAGATCCCTGGCTCCAAACTTACTGATGGTTCTACATCTGCATTTGTATAGGCCTAGCCACTGGTTTGGGCAAAGAGATGAGGCAAGGTTTGGTTTCTGCTTTTCAAAAAATGCTTTTAAAAATCCTTTTGGTGAAAAATATTTTTTCCTTTTTAATATTTCCTTCTCTGGGGCTTTGACTTCCCACAAGACCCCTCTCAGAAACTAAGTAACAGATATCTGATATCTTCAAATATGATATAAAAGGATCACGTAGGGTTCATACTACTGCCTAACTACCTGCATATTTACAGTGTAATTTGTCCACTCTTTTTCAAATCATGAAAGTGGATTGTGAAGACAAAGCCAGTTTGGTCTAGTGGTGAAGGCACCAGGCTAAAAACCAGGAGACTGTGAGTTCTAGTCCTGCCTTAGGCATGAAAGCTGGCTGGGTGCCTAAGGCCAGTTACTCTCTCTCTCAACTCAACTTACCTCACAGGTTTTTGTGAGCAAAATAGGAGGGGGAAGCAGTATTAGGTATGTTCACAACCTTTAGTTATAAAAATAATAAAGGCAGAGTATAATAAAACTTCTTGCAAAGCTTTTCATGATATTTCTGCACTAGGTTTCATACTGCAAAACCTAATCAAATTCAGTTTCTAGAATGTTCCCAGCATGTGCTTTACAGTCTAAAAATAACAAAAAACAAAGAGGAGTGTCTATGTGGAGATTAGAAAGGGTGAGCCCAGTTATGCAACTGTAGACTACAGGTTTCACCTAGTAAACATTGCAGGATTTCCAGTTCTTTTGCAAAGAACATAAAATGAGATAAGGATAAAGAGTTCTTTTAAGCCAATACCCTAATTATGTAATATTGTTTGGTCCAACTCTTATGGAAGTGAGGCCCACTTGACTCCCTCACCGTTGGTGAGGATCACTTTACAACTGTCATGTCTTAGGCTCCATTATGAGCGTACGTTGAAGGCTACCTGTACCTAGGGTTTCCCCTCCATTTTCTCCCACAACAGCAATCCTAGGAAGAAGGCTTGGCTGAGGGAGAATTATTGGCAGAAAAGTAAAGTAGAACCTGGGTCTTCTCATGCCAAGTCCTACTACTTTACCACGCCCTCATGCTGTCTGTGATGCACATCGCCTTCCCAATAGTTCTCCTGAAAATGTCCCCTTTCTCCCTTGTGTTAATAGGAACATGGCTGTGGTTAAAAGCACACTCTGATATTGGCCAAGCTACAACCTAATTCTTTTGCGGTCAGAGTAAGTTTGTAAGGTACAGGAGCAGAGAACAAAAGAACAAAGCAATAGCACAAGGAGCAGCTCAAAAGAACTTAGGGAACTCTTCATGCCTTGGGGACTTGGGAGGGAACCAACGAACAAAAGAACAAGCCCAGCCCTTTCCCCACCCCCATAGAAAAAGAAAGGAAGGAGACTTGGGTCTCCCAAGACGTCCAGGAGAATAAAGTAGAGCCCAGATTATCTTAAAAGAAAACAGTCTGTTCAAGCAGAACAAGAAAGGAAGTGAACAAGAATTCAGTTCTTTTCTTCTCTGCTGACCTCTGATTTGGATGAGACTCTGATGCACGGTGGTAAAGCAATTAGGGGAACTCAGCTCTGAAAGCAGGAAGAAGATTGGAGGAGAGACAGAGAGAGATGAGACTCTTCCAGAAGACAAGAAGCCAGAGTCAGGGACCAGGTGCTTTGGGCACGGAAGGGAAACGTAACAGGATGAAAACAAGAGGACAGCGGTTTAAAGAAAGATGGCGCCCAGAAGAGAACCAAGAGGGGGACACTGGGCAGCCAGTGAAGGTAGGACTGGAGCGGGGTGGGAATTGGGGTGTCTCCTTTTCTTTTTTTTCTTGAATTCCTATCCTTCTCAGAACCAGTTTGCAAGATGGGTGTCCCAGCCAGTCCAGCTCTGATCCTCATAAAATCTAGCTGGAAGAAGGATTGCAGATACTGTACTGTAGATGGTTCAAGGTGTCTTTTATGGTAGGAAATGCCACCTATTACAAAAAAAGGGGCAACTGGTGTAAGCTAATATCTCATTTTGCCCTTTCCTGGTCATTATCCATTCCTTCCTTCTATATCATGTTTTTTTGTTCTGTAATTGGGCAATCTTTGTGAATATGAGAGTGGCCAGAGTGGGTCACGTTGCTATTGTTATTAATGCTAATTAATGATAATGCCTAGCCATCTTGCAATCTTCTCTCCTACCATATTTTATCAGCAGGATGCATGAAAGTTGGGATAATAGAAATACACTTGCATTGCCCCCTAAACCCAGCGTATATTAAATAAAACCTGCATAAAACAAGAGATGTCTAGAGTTGAAATAAATGTAGTTAATCAATCTGTTTAAAATTAGCCAGATGAGTTAAGTTGAAATGCATTTGCATGGTGATGCCCAAATCCAGTATCAATTCCACTTTAAGATATTGAAGGAAGTGCTGGATATTTACATTCAGTTCAATAAACAGGACTTAACACTATTAACCCTGTATTTGGAAGTTACCCTTTCATTCTCTATCATACTTACAGATCTAGATTAAGATGACATGAAGTAAATAATATTTCACAATTCACTTACTAACCCTCAACTATTAACTACATTAATCCTTACTTATTAACATTTAAAACGTTTTGTAGCTTAATTAGTTGATGACCCAAGGGTTGTCAATCATCCCACTGACCAAACTTCTTTTGCTCACTTCTGTATCTCATCCTTGTCTTTGCTGTGATGCAGACTAAGTAAGCTCTATTGAAATTTTCAGGACTTCTGGGACTTTAATTAGAAGTTTCCTTCTTTTGGGTTTTCTTTAATGGATCGGCTTTGTTACCTGTCAAGAGAGAAATTGCTTAACTTTTTATTACTAGTTTTCACTCTTTGTAGTTTTCTTGTTCAATAGTTTTTTAAAATTTTTAATAGTTTTTTAAAATTTAATTTTTTTTAAAAAAGATGCACTGTTTTAATTATGCTGACAGTGGTAGAAGTACAGAAAACTTAATGTGGACCCAACAATTGTTGTCAATTATATGATGAAATTTGCATAAATTTGCAAGTAAAGAAGACGTCAGGGGTATTCACAAGGGAAAGTGTTAAAAAATCAAGATGGTTGCTACAGGCTTCAGGTAGTCCTCGACTTACAACAGTTCATTTAGTGACCATTCAAAGTTACAACAGCATTGAAAAAAGTGACTTATGACCGTTTTTCACAGTTAGGACCTCTGCAGAATCCCCGTGATCACGTGATCAAAATGCTTGGCAACTGGTTCATATTTATGACCATTGCTGTGTCCCACAGTCATGTGATCACCTTTTGTGACCTTTCAACAAGCAAAGTCAATGGGGAAGCCAGATTCACTTAACAACGGGTTACTAACTTATCAACTGCAGCGATTTGCTTACAACAGTGGCAAGAAAGGTCATAAAACGGGGCAAAAATCACTTAACAAATGTCTCCCTTAACAACAGAAATTTTGGGCTCAATTGTGGTCATAAGTCGAGGATTACCTGTATGTGATCAAAGCCTGAACCATAATACACATAAAAAGGAGGGGGGTTTGGTCACATAGCTGCGGCTGCCATTTTGTCTTTTCCAGACTTCCCTGGAAACAGTAGGTTCTAAAGAAGAAAGCACGTGGCCTGTTTTTATACGTTGCAAGAGCAGCATCTTAGTAATTCCCCCATCTTTTTCTGTTGAGCGTTCATATTTCTATGAAGATGGGCTGTGCCACCTGCAGATTTAGACAAAAAAAATTGTGTGTTTAATTAGAGGCAGTTTTCTTTTTAAAAATAAATAAATAAATAAATAAAAACTAAGTGAATGAATAACTTGTGTGGCTGTAGAGTAAACTAAATGAAAGCCACATCTCTGTATAAAGGTCTAGAACAGAGAATGTTTCCATAAAAGTGAAAGTGAAAGGAATGGAAGATGAGATGGATATAACCTTGGGAGTGGTCATCTCTAAAGCTTTCAGTAAAACATGATGATCCCCCAGCTGCATCTAAATCTCTGTTTTTATTGGTTACTGATCAGGAACAGTGGAAAACGGATAGCAAATTTGCAGGAGAGCCCAAGGGTTTCTGATTCTCAGAAAATACGAAATGGAAAAAATAAAGTTTTCTGGGTCTAAATTGGATGGCTAGCATGGAGGAAAAGCCGGAAAGACACCCTAATAGGATATGCATATATTGTGGTGCCTTGGTACTCAGTTGTTTTGAAACTCAGCAAATTTGGTACTCAACAAATTTGACGTAAAAAAATTGTCCCGGTACTCGTTTGTTTGGTACTCAACGCACAAGCTAGAACTTATCAATGTCGGCTGCCTTATGACTCACTACATTATTCCTTATGGGAAAAAATTGTTTGGTACTGATCACGTCTCCTGAAACCAATTAATGTTGAGCACCAAGGTACCACGCTAACTGAAGGATGAGCTCAGCTAAAATGTCTTGACTTGTGATAAGAGGCAACCTTGTTCCTTAATCCTAAATCAACTCGCTACCTTCATTCATTTGTCTCCAATCAGTAGATCTTGGAGATCTGTAAAAACAAAGTGAATTCCTTAGATGCAAAGTCTGATCTACATAGATCATAGGTATTCTTGCATTAAACCCAATGTACAGTATCTTCCTTCTCGCTCACAGGTGCAAACATCTAGAGAAATTAGTGATCTGCACCCACAGCTTCACAGCCAGAAACAACAATGAACTGTCAGTGCTTCAAGGAGACATATTAGAGGTGAATTTATGATGCAGGGTATCAATCATGCCAAAAAAGGGCAGTGTAAACCTTAATATAAAGAAGATAATTGCATTTGGAAATCCCAAAATTTGGAAACACACCATTGTTTGCCAATTTGAAATTTTAACATGAAAATGGCTGGGTGATTTTGGGCCAGTCACTTGCATTTCAGCTCCCCCCACATTGTTGTTGTGGTGGAGAAAATTGGAAGAGTATTATGCATGTTCACCACCTTGAGTTACTCATGAATT